TTATGTTGTGGCGTGGTGGTTTATGTTGTGACGTGGTGGTTTATGTTGTGGCGTGGTGGTTTATGTTGTGGCGTGTGGTTTATGTTGTGACGTGGTGGTTTATGTTGTGGCGTGGTGGTTTATGTTTGTGACGTGGTGGTTTATGTTGTGGCGTGGTGGTTTATGTTGGGAGGTGGTTTATGTTGTGGAGTGGTTTATGATGTGACGTGGTAGTTTATGTTGTAAAGTTGTGGTTTATATTGTGAGTGGGTAGTTTATATTGTGACGTGTTGGTTAATGTTGTGACGTGGTGGTATGTTGTGTAGTGATGGTTTATGTTGTGTAGTGATGGTTTATGTTGTGTAGTGATGGTTTATGTTGTGTAGTGATGGTTTATGTTGTGTAGTGATGGTTTATGTTGTGTAGTGATGGTTTATGTTGTGATGTTTTGAGTTTATGTTGTGATTGATGGTTTATGTTGTGACGTGATGGTTTGTTGTGAAGTGAGGTTTATTTGTGACGTGGTTTATGTTGTGACGTGATGGTTTATGTTGTGCATGTGGTTTATGTTGTGACGTGGTGGTTTATGTGTGAGTGGTTTATGTTGTGACGTGTGGTTTATGATGTGCAGTTGGTTTATGTTGTGACGTGTGGTTTATGTATGCAGTGGTGGTTTATGTTGTGAAGTGATGGTTTATGTTGTGAAGTGGTGGTTTATGTTGTGACTTTGGTTTATGTTGTGAAATGGTGATTTATGTTGTGATGTGGTTTATGTTGTGACTCGATGGTTTACGTTGATGACGTGGTGATTTATGTGTGATAGTGATGGTTTATGTGACGTGATGGTTTATGTGACGTGATGGTTTATGGTGTTCGTTATTGCGTGACGTGGTTGGTTTCATTGTATGGTTTATCTCTGATGTTTATGTTTGTGATGTGATGGTTTATGTTGTGAGTATGGTTTATGTTGTGATGTGATGGTTTATGTTGTGATTTTGATGGCTTATGTTGTGACTGTGATGGTTTATGTTGTGATGTGATGGTTTATGTTGTGATGTGATGGTTTTATGTTGTGTATGTTATGGTTTTATGTTTTGTGACGTGATGGTTTATGTTGTGATGTGTGGTTTATGTTGTGACGTGATGGTTTATGTTGTGATGTGATGGTTTATGTTGTGACGTGATGGTTTATGTTGTGATGTGATGGTTTATGTTGTGATGTGATGGTTTATGTTGTGATGTGATGGTTTATGTTGTGATGTGATGGTTTATGTTGTGATGTGATGGTTTATGTTGTGAGTGATGGTTTATGTTGTGATATGAGGCTTATGTTGTGACGTGATGGTTTATGTTGTGATGTGATGGTTTATGTTGTGATGTGATGGTTTATGTTGTGATGTGATGGTTTATGTTGTGAGTGATGGTTTATGTTGTGATGTGATGGTTTATGTTGTGATGTGATGGTTTATGTTGTGATGTGATGGTTTATGTTGTGACGTGATGGTTTATGTTGTGATGTGATGGTTTATGTTGTGATGTGATGGTTTATGTTGTGATGTGATGGTTTATGTTGTGATATGAAGGCTTTATGTTGTGACGTGATGGTTTATGTTGTGATGTGATGGTTATGTTGTGACGTGATGGTTTATGTTGTGATGTGATGGTTTATGTTGTGATGTGATGTTTTGTTTGATGTGATGGTTTATGTGTGATTGATGGTTTATGTTGTGATGTGATGGTTTATGTTGTGATGTAGTGGTTATTTTTGTGACCGTGATGGTTTATGTTGTGATGTGATGGTTTATGTTGTGATGTGTGGTTTATGTTGTGATGTGATGGTTTATGTTGTGATATGAAGGCTCTTATTTTGTGAGTGAGGTTATGTTGTGATGTGATGGTTTATGTTGTGACGTGATGGTTTATGTTGTGATGTGATGGTTTATGTTGTGATGTGATGGTTTATGTTGTGATGTGATGGTTTATGTTGTGATGTGATGTTTATGTTGTGTGTGATGGTTTATGTTGTGACGTGATGGTTTAGTTGTGATGTGATGGTTTATGTTGTGATGTGATGTTTATGTTGTGTCGTCATGGTTTTGTTGTGAAGTGATGGTTTATGTTGTGAAGTGGTGGTTTATATTGTGACGTGAAGGTTTATGTGAAGTGATGATTTTATGTTTTGGATGGTTTATTTTGAGTGATGGTTTTAATGTTGTTGTCGTCATGGTTTATGTTGTGACGTGATTGTTTATGTTGTGACGTTATGTTGTTTTGACTTGACATGTTTGGGTCGTTATATAGTTTCATCTCTGATGTTTATGTCGTCCACCGGGTGTTGGTGTGTCCTCCTCTCCCTCGTCCCAGCTCCCCGTTATCTTCCTCGTCCCAGCCTTATCTTCCCGTAGTCCCTATCTTCCTCGTCCCAGCTCCCCGTTATCTTCCTCGTCCCAGCTCCCCGTTATCTTCCTCGTCCCAGCTCCCCGTTATCTTCCTCGTCCCAGCTCCCCGTTATCTTCCTCGTCCCAGCTCCCCGTTATCTTCCTCGTCCAGCTCCCGTTATCTTCCGTCCCAGCTCCCCGTTATCTTCCTCGTCCCAGCTCCCCGTTATCTTCCTCGTCCCAGCTGCCCGTTATTCCCCTTCCCACTTTTCTTTGTGTGTTATCTTTCCACTTATTTCCTGTCCATCCCCGGTGATCTCCCGTCGCTTCCTTTTTTCCCTCCTTTTGCTTCTTATCACTTCCTTTATTCTTCCATGACTCTTCTTTGCATTTTAAACTCATTTTCACCTCTGTTTTGGTTTTTACACTGCTCTTGTTTCCCATTATAACTGTCAAGTTCTCTTCAGATCCTAGCAGACTAATTTCTAAATCTTTTTTCTATGTCCTTTGGCTCGTCGCTTTGACGTCTCTGCAGCTCTGCGTTTTAAGTTATCTATTCTCGGCTTTGGAACATAGCTTCCTTTGGCGTCTTGGCACTTCTTGGTCAGCCCATCTAACTTAAGCTGCATGGCAACCTCCACTTTTACCACACTCTTTAAGTACACTTCAATTAGGGCATCCTAAATACCTACACAATCTTCTTGGTAGTTTGATCTCTGTTTACAATCTTTCCTCTTCATAGTGCCACTCAAATAAGAGTCAATGCTTGGCACTTGCATGGTGGCTGCCTCCAAGTGGCTCGACACACTCTTTTATGCTAACGTAGAATTCTCTCATTGTGGAGACTTGCTGGTTATCTTGTTGATTATTATATTTAAAACTAGAGAGCTAGACGCTAAGGGGTAATACAGCGCCTGATGGAACTTCCACTGGTTACACTGACATTCTGTTTTTTTATTGTCGTCGTTTTCTTGCGTTCAGGTATTCCTACATTTCAACCATCGCTTTATTCTTCTCGCTGGCTCTTAGTTTTGCTTAGTTTGTCATGTCTCATCTGTTTTATTGTGTTCTGATGATGGATGAGACACATGTGCAACACTTGGTATCTTTATTGCAACAAATTTCTCCCGTGCAGGAGACTACCCATTTGAATGTGGAGCGACTTTCATACGAGACTCACACAGGAGACTTTCATACAGGAGCAAAGCTCAGACTTCTCCATCGCAACTGTCCTCAAATATTTGTTAAGTTATACCATGAATTAAGTAAAGATCCTGGACTTCACCTTACGAAACAGACAAAGCAAATGCGATAGTAATTATGTACAAGGTAGATTATAGTGGAAAAATGAACATGTTATTAGAAGACAGGGGAACTTACGTGCCCCTTAACAGAGGCACCAGCTTCAAGAGTTGCCCGTATGTCTCGCCCAGTCACAAAACACAAGCCAAGCGCACCCATCTGCCACTTATCCACAGTTCGTACCCACTTAGTGAGAGCGGAAGACAAGAACGCCTCTGGGAATCTCCGTCTGGAATCTTAAGTGTTTCCGCTGTAGGCTCCAGCTGATGAGGTAGGAAAGAGGTGACCTACATATGTCTGAGCAAGTCTTCTTTCACACTCCCGCCGCTACACCGTTACTCCCAATCATACATAATTAGCTTTCTTAGACACAGTGTATCTGCCGCGACTATTTTGAGAGCAGGAGAAAGAGGTTTTTGTTTTTATAACGTTGAGAAAGTTCTTCCCAGACAGTTTAGTATAACGCAGATAAATTGTTCTGCTTGTGCTTTGTTAATTAGTTTTAAGCCTGGGTCTTAGTGACGTACTGACAGAAATACACACAGTGTTGAACAAACTTTTATTAAGAATGTTTCTCGTATAACTTGGCAGTCAGCTGTCAAACTACGCAACTCCCACCTTTATTTTTAAAACTTTCCCTGCATACATATTTTTAAAGTTAGGTTAATTATGGTAGGTTATACAAGTTTATTAAAAAAAAGTATATTTAACCATAAAGAAAAAAACAAGCACCATATGTCTGGCAGCGGGACGTCTCCGGGAACTTAGTAACGCTGAAATATGAACGTATATGGCGCATGGCTTGAGGATGTGTTTATCCATGAGATGTAGTGTGTTTCCAGGAAGCTGGTCTGACTGGCACGGGGCGGCAGTAGACGTGGTGTGTAGCGTTCCACAGTGTTTCTAGGTCAGCCAGTGAGCCAGGACGTTGATCCCGGACATGACTGGGGTTGTGTGAGGCTGGGGGATGACCAAGGTGGGACGGCAGGGGATGTGCCAAGGATGCGTAAGTGACCTCCTTCCCTACATACCAAGTTCGAGGCTAGGAGGTCCCTGACAGTGATCATATTCTAAGGCGGAGGACGGGCTGGCACTGACCGCTTTCTTGGCTTGTCAATGTGCCAACACTGCCGGAAACTTAAGAGAAAACATCAAGTGCGGAGAAAGTATTAAGTTTGGAGAAAGTATTAAGTTTGGAGAAAGTATTAAGTTTAGAACCTTTCACAGTAAGGTGATGGATTTTGTACATTGGTGTTGGAAGCCCAGGAGAACCTTCCTACTAGATACAGGTTGATGCTGGTAATGTATGATCGTGTAACGTCTCTAATGGTTTGTCCACAGGATGAGGTTATGGTGGGTCCTGTTAACGGGGCTCTTAACGGGCGTGGCGGGGCAGAGCCTGCAACAACAGACAGTCCAAGGTGAGTGCTACTTGCTGTTACTAGTTACTGTTGCTAGTTATTAGTTACCACTAACACCCTTACCACATCACCATCACCACCACATCAACGCTCACCTCCACTCTAGCAAATCATTCTACGATGATATCGCATCTTGCTTGATCTTTACCCATTTTGTCTGCAGATTAATAATTCTAACTTCTTATAGATTAACTAGCGACCTTCTTTGATTAAGTAGTGGCCTTCGTTGATTAACTAGCGACCTTCGTTGATTAACTAGCGACCTTCTTTGATTAAGTAGTGACCTTCGTTGATTAACTAGCGACCTTCGTTGATTAACTAGCGACCTTCTTTGATTAAGTAGTGACCTTCGTTGATTAACTAGCGACCTTCGTTGATTAACTAGCGACCTTCGTTGATTAACTAGCGACCTTCGTTGATTAACTAGCGACCTTCGTTGATTAACTAGCGACCTTCTTTGATTAACTAGCGATCTTCGTTGATTAACTAGCGACCTTCTTTGATTAACTAGCGACCTTCTTTGATTAACTAGCGACCTTCGTTGATTAACTAGCGACCTTCTTTGATTAACTAGTGACCTTCGTTGATCACCTAGCGACCTTCGTTAACCATTATGTGTTGAGGTCAACGAGGCTGACTCTAAACGACTACTAGGACCTTCGTTGACTAAATATAAACACTTTAACCCCAAATAATAAATGCATTAACGCATCTTATTAACAAAAACATTAATGCACCATATTAACAAATGTATTTAAGCATCTTAATACAGCAAGATACCAAACACGTTAAGAAACATCCTAAATTTGCTTGCAACATTTAAGACAAGCTGTAGATAGGCACACGGAGATATTACAAATGACACCTCTGCAACACTGCTGCAACACTGCTGCAACACCACTGCAACACTGCTGCAACACTGCTGCAACACCACTTGCAACACTGCTGCAACACTGGAGGTAACACCAGCTACAACAAACGCCTTGAAAGATGCAAGATAAACAAAGACGGTTTTGTAGCTTTACCGAAAAAAGGGGAAACGAGAGACTATAATTTTTAATTGGTAAAGAAAAATCTCAAACTGGAGAGAATATATTTGTTCACCAGAGTCTGGAATGATGACAGTGACAACGGTGCTAAAACCATGTGATGTGCAGACACGTGTAAACAGTCTAATATACGTGAAAGTGCTAAAACAGTCGGATGTACTGACAACGTAAAACAGTGTCTGGAATGATGACAGTGACAACGGTGCTAAAACCAGTGTCTGATGGAATGAGTACAGTCTGATATACACGACAACGGTGCTAAAACCAGGTCTGGAATGATGACAGTGACAACGGTGCTAAAACCAGTGTCTGGAATGATGACAGTGACAACGGTGCTAAAACCAGTGTCTGGAATGATGACAGTGACAACGGTGCTAAAACCAGTGTCTGGAATGATGACAGCGACAACGGTGCTAAAACCAGTGTCTGGAATGATGACAGCGACAACGGTGCTAAAACCAGTGTCTGGAATGATGACAGTGACAACGGTGCTAAAACCAGTGTCTGGAATGATGACAGTGACAACGGTGCTAAAACCAGTGTCTGGAATGATGACAGTGACAACGGTGCTAAAACCAGTGTCTGGAATGATGACAGTGACAACGGTGCTAAAACCAGTGTCTGGAATGATCACAGTGACAACGGTGCTAAAACTATCAGAAAGCTCAAAAATGAATACCTGGAGTTTACCTGGAGAGAGTTCCGGGGGTCAACGCCCCCGCGGCCCGGTCTGTGACCAGGTCTCCTCTTAGAGAAGATTGGACACCACGGGAATTATGTCTATTTATTTAATTACAAAACAGGTAATATTGCACACACGAAGATCTGGAGGAGAAATGTTCAGGACGTGCAAGATACCCAGAGGCCTCAAGAAGGTGGCAAGGTAAGACTGATAGAATGGGGAGGAGGAAGAAATAACACGGGGACGGTGAAGTTGTATAATGGAGTGTTTCACAAAGAATTTAGCTTAAAGAGGTAAACTTCACGCTGATGAAGCAACTACAGGTCAAGAGAGACACGGTCACGACGTACAAAATACTTATGAGTATTAACGAGTAGATAGGAAGGTCCGGAACAAACGGACACACCTAGATGAAGCACATGGGTGCTTCGAAGAACTTATGTGTGTAATGACTCAGTCTAGGAAAGAGAGAGAGAGAGAGAGAGAGAGAGAGACAGACAGACAGACAGACAGACAGAAGACAGAGAGAGAGAGAAGAGAGAGAGAGAGAGAGAGAGAGAGAGGACAGACAGACAGACAGACAGACAGACAGACAGACAGACAAACAGACAGACACGGAGAGAGTAAACCGTCAAATACGAGAGCTGAAGACACTATTGCTCGAACGTTAAGAGACGAATCTAGGAGCCGGAGCTCAACGTTTACTGACACAACTCTGTGTTTACACTTACACAGATACCAGTCCTCCAGTACACAGACAACATCACAATTAACACAGACACCAATCCTCCAGTACACAGATAACACCACAATTAACAGACACCAGTCCTCCAGTACACAGACAACACCACAATTAACACAGACACCAATCCTCCAGTACACAGATAACACCACAATTAACAGACACCAGTCCTCCAGTACACAGACAACACCACAGTTAACACAGACACCAACACGAGAGTACAGACTCTACCTCTCCTCCAGGGATGGGAATACTGAAAAGTTTTGGTTTTCAGGGCCCAGAAGTAGCACGTCCACAGTGATACACCTAGTCAAGACCCCCTACCAGGAGGTGCTGAGTCGCAGGGCACACGAGGATCGTATGGGTACGCTCCCTCTCTTCCCTTTCCTGTCTCTGTCCTTTTCTCCTCTCTCCCTGCATGCTCACACTGCCGTTGCCTCCCTCTGACCTCCCTGCAACATGATGGAATGTTGATGCAGAGAACATCGCCTGAGGATCTCGAAGGAGGTGTCTTTGAGAATCTGAGGTGGAGTAAATGTCGATCTAATTATGCTGTTTTGTGGCCGTGATTACGGTCTTTCTTGGGTAGCTTTGGTAAAAGGTTAATAATGGGTTGGACAATTATTTTCGTTAATGAGTTTGGGTGTGACAAGGACCTGCTAAGTGTGGGCCATTGGGTCTACTGCAGTGTTTGTCCTTTCTTAAGAAGCTCATTGCTAGCAATCCCTTCCTTAAATCACTTGTAAAAGCAACTGCTCAAGAAGAAATTTCTCGCCTAGCTGGTAGTAATAAGTTATCACAAGTTATATACACTGATGGATCTAAACAGGAGTCTTCTGGCAGGGCTGCATCTGCTCTTGTTGCCACCTCCATAGTTAAGAACCATAACGACTTTTTTTGAGTTTGGCATAAGGATTAACAACTGGGCGTCGACACTGCAAACCGAATTGTTTGCCATCTTGATGGCACTAAAGCTAACTTATGACACTGAGCTTGACTCTATCTTCATTACTGACTATGTCATCACTGAAGGCTCTTGACTCATATAATGACTCCAACAACATGCTCATTGGAGAAGCCAGGTACAGATACTCAAAAATCCGGGATAAAGAAATTAATGTACAATTGCTATGGATCCCATCACACAGTGGATTACTGCTTACTCTCCCAGAAGGAGAATGTAGAATATAACTTTGGTATATCTGTGTCTAGCATTAGAAATAATATTAGGAGAGAAATAAATAATCAAAATGAATATTATAGGAATGTAGTTAGAAGTCTGAGTAGATCTATAACCCACTGTGATAACATGAACGTAGATAAGTTTGTCTATGGAGCAACTTGCAATGTGAACAGACTGACTGATGTTGTAGTGGCCAGGCTTAGGCTTGGTTACAAGTACTTCTGGCAGTTTGGGAGACACACAGATGATGATCAAACCAAATGTAAATTATGTGGTCAGGCGTATGGTCACTGTCTTGAACACTATGTGCTTAATTGTCCACTTATTGAGGAATATACAGATAGTATAATAACCTATGTGACATATCAAGGTATCTTAATGAAAATAAGATACCAGATATATTTAGCAAATTTCTTAAATTTGCTTGTAACAGGTAAGTGAACTGTAGATATAAAGCCAGATGTATTTCTGTTAACCCTTTTGGGGCCTGGTTCCCAGACCTTTTATGTATCCATATGCTCTTGCGCTACCGTCATAGGATAGATATGGGATGAACAATACACTAGCCACTTCGGTGACAAAATCTAAAATCTAATCTATCACCACAATTAAAATCTAAACTAAAATCTAATTTATCACCACAACTAAAATCTAAACTAAAATTTAATTTATCACTTAACTCTTGGACATGACCTCCTTCACACTTCTCTCATCCCTCTCTCTTGCTCTCTCGCTTTTGATTTATGGAACTAGAGTTGCCACTTCAACTTTGCAGACATAGCTAAGCTATAATAACAAACACATAAATCCTTTTTCAGCTATGTGTATGGAGTGCTTCCTCCCATGGGCAGTGTTTACACCCAGGTTCTAGCTACCACCACCAGAGTGCAGCATGTGATGTTCCCGCGGCTCTCAGTGGAAAACTGCTCGCTAAATAATAAACAATATTGCAGACAGCGAGTCAAATCTACGGATACTTAAAATACACACACACACATACACAGAAACCGTAGCTGACGGAAAACTGGAAAAGGATGTGGTCTGTATACAGAAGACAGACCAGAGATATTAAATATTAAGAAGGGATGACTCACGAAATCGTAATGACACGATTGCAAACGCGACGTCTGGAGTTTTGAGACTCTCTGACCGCGGGTTCAAATCCCGCCCGTGGTATGGTTTATTAAGAAGGGATATTTGACACGTACTTTATCAAATGTTTTGGCGAAGATTGTACAGAATAAGGGTCTTAGAGCCACAAGCCACGCAGAAAGGATTATGAACCCGCACAGAAAGGATCATAAGCGCAAACAGAAAGGGTCATGAGCCCTCACAGAAAGGAACATGAGCGTTCTCGAAGTGAGCATGACTGTGGTGAGGTGTTTGAGCCCGATCCTCACTCTAGAAATAATCATATCGTAATAAGAATTCCTGTGGAAAGAGGAGGAGGAAACGTCCACGTCATCCAGCGTCTGGCTCGACACTTGTCGAGACGCACCCGTCTGTGTTAGGTTAGGTAAGGTTTGCCAGGAAACAAGTATTTCCTGACGCGGGTCCTAAGTCATATGATGACCCACAATGGTCTGTGTAGTTCATGAAGCCGTTGTGAGATAAATGTTATAGTAACTGAGCGTCCTCCATGTAGGTCTATGTAATTCATGAAGCCGCTGTGGGGCAGATGTTACAGTAACTGTAGCGTGTAGAGCGTCCTCCATGTAGCAACCTTCTGTCTTAGCATCTACCCGCTGGAGGGAAGTGCTCTCCATATGACAGTGATAATTTTATGTGCCAAGAAGACACATTAGAGTTACAACCGTTGGCTAATATTATGTATTTAACAAAAGTAGTTCCCACAGTTATACACAGCATGGGATGGATCCGCTAACAAACACCATTATCGCCATATAATGAATCACCATTCATCGTTATACAGCACATTAGTTCATCCATCTTTACGTAGCACAATGGGGTTACAGAGACACATGCAAGGCCGTAATCAACATTAATTTTTGTAACAGATATTGATGATAATTGTATAATTGACTGTTTCAGTACTTTTTCTATCATTCCTACTACCATCCTCAACTACAACTAATTAAAAATATGCAAATATGACTGTATATATCTTGCAACATTGTCTACCATTTCTCTTCAGCATTACGCAATGGGTCGTGGGACTTGGGATAACTTGGGGAGAGGTTTAAATATTCAACATTCGTAATATCAGTTAACATAAGTGATGTAATACTGTGTCACGTGTAATTCTTGACGTTTTCTCAGTTGTTACGTAAAAGGACACATGTGCAAATATTGCGGCATTTTATTGTGGCAACATTTCTCTCTTCAGGAGCTTTGCCAAGCTTGATAAAGCTCCTGGAGAGCGAAACGTTGCCACAATAAAATGTCACATTAGTTGCACTTGTGTCCTTTTACATAACACATTGTTGGTAATTCTACCAACATTATCACATTTTCTCAGCTAACGGAATGTTGGTGTCCACAGATGATGGTTCCCGCATTGAGAGCATCGACACCATGCATGAGGATGCCAGCCACAAGGTGTTTGAAGGCATCGAAGTCACGGTGAGTACACGAACACACCGTTCTCACGTCCTCCTACCATCCCCCCGTCATGCCCATCACCCCCGTCATGCCCATCCTCCCGTCATGCCCATCCCCCGTCATGCCCATCCCCCCGTCATGCCCATCACCCCGTCATGCCCATACCCCCGTCATGCCCATCCCCCGTTCATGCCCATCCCCCCCGTCATGCCCATCCCCCCGTCATGCCCATCCTCCAGTCATGCCCATCCTCCGTCATGCCCATCCCCCCGTCATGCCCATCCCCGTCATGCCCATCCCCCCCGTTCATGCCCATTCCCCCCGTCATGCCCATCCCCCCTCACGTCCCCCTCCTCACAGCATGATTATTACTGGACGGAGGTAAATAGAACAAAACCGACAGGTGGAGGAAAAAAAGATATATAGTTACAGAGAAGAACTTTAACCAGACGTTTCGCCTATGGAACAATCTTCTTCAGATGACCGAAGAAGCCTGATGCCACAGGCGTAATGTTTCAACAAAAATTCCGCTCTGCAGTTGAGTATTCTTCCCCATTATTGTTGCATTCTCGCTGCCACACCCATCACTATCAACACACTCATATACCCATCACCATCACTACACGTTCACCTATTTCAAGCATCACCTTCGCTGCACTATCGCACTCATTACCACTATTCGTTCTATTCGCACTAATCGTTCACTATCACGCTCAGCATCACCACACTATCACACAACCATTGCTTCTCCATTCACTAGACTGGTGACACCGATACTAAGAAGTCACCTGTTCCTCTTACAACCACCTAATTACATGTTGATAAATTAGACACATGTGCAACTCTTGGGTATCTTTATTGAGGAAACGTTTCGCCACACAGTGGCTTCATCAGTCCATACGTAGGAGAAACTTGAAGAACAGGAGGAGAATGAGGTAATCAGTCCCTCAACGTTTCCTCAATAAAGATACCCAAGAGTTGCACATGTGTCTAATTTATCAACATGTCGGTTCTCTGAACCATTCATCTACAAACCTGTCAGACACTGCAACTTCTTGGGATCTTAATACTTAGGAATTCTTCGCTTGCCTAATTCTTGGGCACGACCTACTTCCACATTGAACAAATGTGACACGACCTATGACTGCTGCACCTCTCCTGCCATACGGTTTATAAGCTGCTTCTCCGCTGATATGCCGTATTCTATTCAAGTTGATGGACTGAACACATCGACTCAAGGTTGAGGGACTGATTACCTCATTCTCCTCCTGTTCTTCAAGTTTCTCCTACGTATGGACTGATGAAGCCACTGTGTGGCGAAACGTTTCCTCAATAAAGATACCCAAGAGTTGCACATGTGTCTAATTTATCAACATGTCGGTTCTCTGAACCATTCATCTACAAAGTGACCTTGTGCTATCAAGTGACCTTGTACTATCAAGTGACCTTGTGCTATCAAGTGACCTTGTGCTATCAAGTGACCTTGTGCTATCAAGTGACCTTGTGTTGTCAAGTGACCTTGTGCTATCAATTGACCTTGTGCTGTCAAGTGACCTTGTGCTATCAAGTGACCTTGTATTGTCAAGTGACCTTGTGCTATCAATTGACCTTGTGCTGTCAAGTGACCTTGTGCTATCAAGTGACCTTGTGCTATCAATTGACCTTGTGCTGGCAAGTGACCTCGTGTTGTCAAGTGACCTTGTGCTGTCAAGTGACCTTATTTAATCAAGTGACCTTGTGCTATCAAGTGACCTTGTGCTATCAAGTGACCTTGTATTGTCAAGTGACCTTGTGCTATCAAGTGACCTTGTGTTGTCAAGTGACCTTGTGCTATCAAGTGACCTTGTGCTATCAAGTGACCTTGTATTGTCAAGTGACCTTGTGCTATCAATTGACCTTGTGCTGTCAAGTGACCTTGTGCTATCAAGTGACCTTGTATTGTCAAGTGACCTTGTGCTATCAATTGACCTTGTGCTGTCAAGTGACCTTGTGCTATCAAGTGACCTTGTGCTATCAATTGACCTTGTGCTGGCAAGTGACCTCGTGTTGTCAAGTGACCTTGTGCTGTCAAGTGACCTTGTGCTGTCAAGTGACCTTGTGCCGTCAAATGACCTTGTGCTGTCAAGTGACCTTGTGCTGTCAAGTGACCTTGTGCTGTCAAGTGACCTTGTGCCGTCAAGTGACCTTGTGCTGTCAAGTGACCTTGTGCTGTCAAGTGACCTTGTGCTGTCAAGTGACCTTGTGCCGTCAAGTGACCTTGTGCTGTCAAGTGACCTTGTGCCGTCAAGTGACCTTGTGCTGTCAAGTGACCTTGCGCTGTCAAGTGACCTCGTGCTGTCAAGGACACAGCAAATCGATGATAATTTTTTTTTTTATGGAACTATTGCATAAATTTTGAAGGAAGATGGCAGTGAGTGACTCAGCGAGTCATCATGTGGTCGCCACTCACCTTAACATATTATAATTAATGAATATAAACACGGGTAGATGACACTCAAATCTCCCACTGCAAATGTTTACATGAGTGTGGTGCCGATGTTTAGGTGTCCTTATGTTTGTGGGACTAATGCTGAAATATGTGCTTATTTGTGGTTCCAGAGGTCGAGTCTCAGCTCCTGGCTCTGCTTCTTCGCTGGTCGCTACTAGGTCCACTCTTTCCCAGCTTTAGGAGCTTTACCGAATATCTTAAAGCTGTCTGAATGTGTGTGTGTGTGTGTGTGTGTGTGTGTGTGTGTGTGTGTGTGTGTGAGAGAAAGAGAGAGATGAATGTTACTTGAAATGTTCAAGTGCCAGTATCTATCACTGGGAGGATGTATTGGAGTCATACGTTAAGCAGATTAGTTTATAAAGGAAGACAACACGGAGGAATCAAAATCTACTGCAATGTTGGTGTGGTGCGATGTTAAGTGTCTATGTGTGTGTGGGAGTATGCTAACCATATAGTGACTGAGGTGGCAATGAGTCTACTCCAAGGTGCTCTTCCCGTCGTACTAGGACTTCCGCTTTAGTGATAGTATTACGTCATACGATAACGCATGTGATGGTGTGGTAGAGGAGAGGAGGAGGAGGAGTGTGGTGATGAAGAGAGAAGAGAAGAGAGAGGAGAGAGATGTCACATGAAAGTGTCAGAGAGATACTGAGGATGGAGATGGAGTATAGTAAAGCAGAAGTTTATAGACGAGGAGAGAAGCAAAGGAGGGGAACAAACCGAGATCCGGGAGAAGTCAGACCACATAAAGAAGAAGGAGAGAGAGGTGGAGGGACGAGGAGAGAGAGAAGAGATGAGGGAGAGGCACCAGAGGTAAGTGAGTGAGATAGAGTAGCGAAGAGAAACAGTCTACGCAGATGAGAAGAGAGAGGAGGAGAGAGATGAGAGAGTGGAGGAGAGAAGAGAGAGGAGAGAGAGAGTGAGAGAGAGAGAGAGAGAGAGAGAGAGAGAGGAATCTTACAACGACGTTTCGTCCTACTTGGACCATTTACAAAGTCACCATTAACAAAGTCACCATTAACAAAGTCACCATTAACAAAGTCACATAAAAAGTCACATTAAAGTACCTAAAGTCACCATTACAAAGTCACCATTAACAAAGTCACCATTAACAAAGTCACATTCGTAAACAAAGTCACCATTAACAAGTCACCATTTACAAAGTCACCATTTACAAAGTCACCATTAACAAAGTCACCATTAACAAAGTCACCATTTAACAAAGTCACCATTAACAAAGTCACCATTAACAAGTCACCATTAAAAGTCACCATTAAAAGTCACCATTAACAAAGTCACCATTAACAAAGTCACCATTACAAAGTCCCATTTACAAAGTCACCATTTACAAAGTCACCATTAACAAAGTCACCATTTACAAAGTCACCATTACAAAGTCACCATTAACAAAGTCACCATTTAACAAAGTCACCATTAACAAAGTCACCATTAACAAAGTCACCATTAACAAAGTCACCATTAACAAAGTCACCATTTACAAAGTCACCATTACAAAGTCACCATTAACAAAGTCACCATTAACAAAGTCACCATTAACAAAGTCACCATTAACAAAGTCACCATTAACAAAGTCACCATTTACAAAGTCACCATTAACAAAGTCACCATTAACAAAGTCACCATTAACAAAGTCACCATTAACAAAGTCACCATTAACAAAGTCACATTACAAAGTCCATTACAAAGTCACCATTAACAAAGTCACCATTAACAAAGTCACCATTAACAAAGTCACCATTAACAAAGTCACCATTAACAAATCACATTACAAAGTCACCATTAACAAAGTCACCATTTAAAAAGTCACCATTAACAAAGTCACATTACAAAGTCACCATTAACAAAGTCACCATTAACAAAGTCACCATTAACAAAGTCACCATTAACAAAGTCACCATTAACAAAGTCACCATTTACAAAGTCACATTTACAAAGTCACATTACAAAGTCACCATTAACAAAGTCACCATTTACAAAGTCACCATTTACAAAGTCACCATTTACAAAGTCACATTAACAAAGTCACCATTTACAAAGTCACCATTAACAAAGTCACCATTAACAAAGTCACCATTAACAAAGTCACCATTAACAAAGTCACCATTTACAAAGTCACCATTAACAAAGTCACCATTAACAAAGTCACCATTTACAAAGTCACCATTTACAAAGTCACATTAACAAGTCACCATTTACAAAGTCCCATTACAAAGTCACCCATTTACAAAGTCACATTAACAAAGTCACCATTTACAAAGTCACCATTTACAAAGTCACCATTTACAAAGTCACATTAACAAAGTCACCATTTACAAAGTCACCATTTACAAAGTCATCATTTACAAAGTCACATTAACAAAGTCACCATTTACAAAGTCACATTTACAAAGTCACCATTTACAAAGTCACCATTTAACAAAGTCACATTTACAAAGTCACATTAACAAAGTCCATTTACAAAGTCACATTTAACAAAGTCACCATTTACAAAGTCCATCATTTACAAAGTCACATTAACAAAGTCACCATTTACAAAGTCACCATTTACAAAGTCACATTAACAAAGTCACCATTAACAAAGTCACCATTTACAAAGTCACCATTTACAAAGTCACATTAACAAAGTCACCATTTACAAAGTCACCATTTACAAAGTCATCATTTACAAAGTCACCATTTACAAAGTCACCATTTACAAAGTCACATTTACAAAGTCACCATTACAAAGTCACCATTACAAAGTCTACATTTACAAAGTCACATTAACAAAGTCGCCATTTACAAAGTCACCATTTACAAAGTCACCATTTACAAAGTCATCATTTACAAAGTCACATTAACAAAGTCACCATTTACAAAGTCGCCATTTACAAAGTCACATTAACAAAGTCACCATTAACAAAGTCACCATTTACAAAGTCACCATTTACAAAGTCATCATTAACAAAGCCACCATTAACAAAGTCATCATTAACAAAGTCACCATTTACAAAGTCTCAAGGACCCAATAGAAATAAATTACTGATTTTTTTTTTTGGGGGGGGAGGTTATCGTAGGTAATCTACACATATGCTGCTGTGTATGATAATGTATGTAACTATATTTATGTATACCTGTACCTAAATAAACTTACTAACACATTATGACTTAATAAATGGTCCAAGTCGGAGCAAAACGTCGTGGTGAGTTTCTCTCTGCTATGTGCGGGTTAATTTGCGTCTTGTTCCAGTCACGGTATTGTGTCTTCCTATTCTTCAACAACAAAAATAATAGTAATAATAACATTAATCATCGCCGACAGAGAGGCCGCTGACGAAGAAGGAACTGAGAGCCACTCAGAAGTACAACAACGCTGCTGACGTAGTGCTGAAGACGCTGGCTAAGGCCATGAAGAAGGTGGAGCCTTTCCCTGTCAGTCTGCAGGAGGCGTGAGTCACCTTGCCCTTCCTATACACATAGGCGCAGTTTTTTTTTTTTTTGAAGTAGGCCTAATATCACTCGTGAGAGGTTAGACGCGTTAAATGACTTTAATGGCAACCAAAAGATACTAAATTACCTAATAATAATAATAATAATAATAATAATAATAATAATAATAATAATAATAATAATAATAAGCTTTTATTGGGACAACTTTTCGCTATGTGTACAGCTGTATCAAGTATTGATAAAGCTCCCCGGATGGCGAAACGTCGCAATGAAAGCTGCCACTCTGCAACGGGAGTCTTTAACTTCCGTAGTGGCATGCAACATGGCGTCTCAGTCATTACTTTTGTTGCAACAAGACGCAGTTTCAATCCTTTCTTTCTTGCATCAGGACGTTGCAAAATCTGAGAGAGCTGGACGAGGCTCCTTCAAGCCAGACAAACCCACAACCCGAAGAGGAAACCCAGAAGGAGAAGAGAAGGAGGAAGAAGAACAAGAAAAGAAGAGGCAACAACAAGGGGGGGAAATCCGACTTGGCAGAATCGGAGAACAACCAGAAGAACAAGAACCAGGATGGCGAAGAGGTAGAGGAGCCAGTCAGGAGACGAAAGAAGAACAAGAAGAATAAGAATAAAAACAAGAACAGGAACAAGAATAAGGACAAGGACACCACGGACGAAGACGAGGCGGTGGAAGAAGGAGGTGGTGACACGAGTGCTTTAAGTGTGGAGGGAGGGAAGAGAGAAAAACAACACGGGAAGGGCAAGAACAAGAACAAACGTAACAAGAATAAGAGGAAGAAGAACAGGAAGAACAAGAAGAAGAACAAGGGCGTCGCAGCCTCTACAAGAGATGCTAAGGCTCTGGGAGACTACGAGCAAGAGGATCCTGAAGCATATACCGAGGTAAGACTCACACCACAGTGGAGACCATTACTGTTGACCTGTCTACCTATACACCCAGCTACCTACCTGCCTACACGCACACCTAACTACACGCCTACACCTAACTACTACCTGCCTACACACACACCTACCTACGTGCCTACACACACCCTACCTACACATCAGTGCCTACACACACACCTACCTACCTGCCTACACACACACACACCTACCTACCTGCCTACACGCACACCTATCTACCTGCCTACACACACACCTACCTACGTGCCTACACACACACCTACCTACCTGCCTACACACACACCTGCCTACCTGCCTACACACACAGACCTACCTACCTGCCTACCCACCCATCTACCTACCTGTCTACACACCCACATACCTACCTGCCACCCACACACCTACCTACCTGCCTACACACCACCACCTACCTACCTGCCTACACACACACACGTACCTACCTGCCTAACACACACACACGTACCTACCTGCCTAAACACACACACACCTACCTACCTGCCTACACACCCACCTACCTACCTACCTACCTGCCTACACACCACCTACCTACCTGCCTACACACACACACCTACCTACCTACCTATACACCAATATACCTTCTTACCTACACATCTACCTACCTACTTGCCTACACACCTACCCACCTGCCTGCCTACCTACCTACCTACCTACACCTCTACCTACCTACCTACTTACCTATGAATTACATTCATTATTAAAATGTTTGTACTAACAGGGAATATCAGACATAAAACAATCTATCACAGGGAATATCAGACATAAAACAGTCTATCACAGGGAATATTAGACATAAAAAAATCTATCACAGGGAATATCAGACATAAAACAGTCTATCACAGGGAATATCAGACATAAAACAGTCTATCACAGGGAATATCAGTCATAAAACAATCTATCACAGGGAATATCAGACATAAAACAGTCTATCACAGGGAATATCAGACATAAAACAGTCTATCACAGGGAATATCAGTCATAAAACAATCTATCACAGGGAATGTCAGACATAAAACAGTCTATCACAGGGAATATCAGTCATAAAACAATCTATCACCGGGAATATCAGACATAAAACAATCTATCACAGGGAATATCAGACATAAAACAATCTATCACAGGGAATATCAGACGTAAAACAATCTATCACAGGGAATATCAGACATAAAACAATCTATCACAGGGAATATCAGACATAAAACAATCTATCACAGGGAATATCAGACGTAAAACAATCTATCACAGGGAATATCAGACATAAAACAATCTATCACAGGGAATATCAGACTCAAAACAATCTATCACAGGGAATATCAGACATAAAACAATCTATCACAGGGAATATCAGACATAAAACAATCTATCACAGGGAAATATAGACAAACATCTTATCCAACAGAGAATTATCAGACATAAAACAATCTATCATGAAATAAGAACACTTATCACAAAGCAAGAGCATTCATCACACAGTAAGAGCATTCATCACACAGTAAGAGCATTCATCACACAGTAAGAGCATTCATCACACAGTAAGAGCATTCATCACACAGTAAGAGCATTCATCACACAGTAAGAGCATTCATCACACAGTAAGAGCATTCATCACACAGTAAGAGCATTCATCACAAGTAAGAGCATTCATCACACAGTAAGAGCATTCTCACAGTAAAAGCATTCATCACACAGTAAGAGCATTCATCACACAGTAAGAGCATTCATCACACAGTAAAGCATTCATCACACAGTAAGAGCATTCATCACACAGTAAGAGCATTCATCACACAGTAAGAGCATTCATCACACAGTAAGAGCATTCATCACATAGTAAGAGCATTCATCACACAGTAAGAGCATTCATCACACAGTAAGAGCATTCATCATACAGTAAGAGCATTCATCACACAGTAAGAGCATTCGTCACACAGTAAGAGCATTCATCACACAGTAAGAGCATTCATCACACAGTAAGAGCATTCATCACACAGTAAGAGCATTCGTCACACAGTAAGAGCATTCATCACACAGTAAGAGCATTCATCACAAAGTAAGAGCATTCATCACACAGTAAGAGCATTCATCACATAGTAAGAGCATTCATCACACAGTAAGAGCATTCATCACAAAGTAAGAGCATTCATCACACAGTAAAAGCATTCATCACACAGTAAGAGCATTCATCACACAGTAAGAGCATTCATCACACAGTAAGAGCATTCATCACACAGTAAGAGCATTCACCACGCAGTAAGAGCATTCATCACACAGTAAGAGCATTCATCACACAGTAAGAGCATTCATCACACAGTAAGAGCAACTGTAGCATTCATCACATAGTAAGAGCATTCATCACACAGTAAGAGCATTCATCATACAGTAAGAGCATTCATCACACAGTAAGAGCATTCGTCACACAGTAAGAGCATTCATCACACAGTAAGAGCATTCATCACACAGTAAGAGCATTCATCACACAGTAAGAGCATTCGTCACACAGTAAGAGCATTCATCACACAGTAAGAGCATTCATCACAAAGTAAGAGCATTCATCACACAGTAAGAGCATTCATCACATAGTAAGAGCATTCATCACACAGTAAGAGCATTCATCACAAAGTAAGAGCATTCATCACACAGTAAAAGCATTCATCACACAGTAAGAGCATTCATCACACAATAAGAGCATTCATCACACAGTAAGAGCATTCATCACAAAGTAAGAGCATTTTTTGAAGAATAAGATTGTTTTTCTGGCCAGAGGACCATTTAGGACAGCGTAAAGAGCACTGGATTTCTTGACGTCTTTCAGGAGGTGGAGGACGTGGAGGGACGCAGGAAGGGCGGTCGCCCGGCAAACAAGAAGAACGGAAAGGGAAAGAAGGGGAAGAGAGGCAAGAAGAACAAGAAGAAGAACAAGAAGAACAGGAAGAACAAGAAGAACAAGGGGAAACACAGCGGCTCCAAGAGCCGCTCAGAGTCGCTGGATCTCGAGGAGAAGTGAGTAGTGACCCCAGTTAGTGACTTTCCTTGTGAATATGCATCTCTAGGTGAATACATACATGGAAATGCACCTCTAGGTGAATATTTACACCTGGAAATGCATCTGTAGGGGAATATACACCTGGAAATGCATCTCTAGGTGAATATATACACCTGAAACTGCACCTCTAGGTGAATATACACCTAGAAGTGCATCACTAAGTGTATACACACCTCTAAGTTGCATCACTAAGTGTATACACATCTGTGTATATACACTTAATATACACTAAGAGGTGCACCTCTCGCTGTATAAACTCAAGAGGTACACTCGTGGGTGTATACCCTCAGTGAAGAGGCGGGGCCAGGAGCTGAGTCTCGACCCCTGTAACCACAATTAGGTGAGTATCTTTCTCAGGGCTAACTATCACATTATTGCTGCCCATGTGTTATACATGTGTCTTATTCATCTTGTCCATATGGGATGTCATTAATAATATAAATTAAGATATTATGCAAAGTGAATGCGATAAATATTTATAAGTTCTAATTAGCAGAAATTTGTAGCCAAGCCAATAAGGTTCTTGGCTTCATATCGAGAACTATAACGTCTTGATGGGATCAGAGATGCACCTCTGAACCCATCTTATTTGTGAGAGTAGGAACCAAGGTTACAGCAACATAATTTGTAATATTTTACAATTAAGAATAAAACTAAGTATGCCCGAAATGCCTAGCCATGCTAAGCGTTCTAGTGGTACACTCTGTAATCACAATTTTACTACATGTAAACCAAACAATAACCAAATTTCTGTAAACTCAGCATTGTAATCCTTATAGAGAATAAACTTTTGAATTTGAATTTGAATTTGAAGAAGGTAAGTGTACAGAGGCACTAACACCTTACTGTGCTCCCTCCCTCAGTACTGGTCCAGTCCTGCCCACTCAAGACGAGATGGAGACGAGCAATGCTAGACTTACAGGCTTCAGCAACCTTGCCCGCAGCCAGGATGTCAGTGTCGACCTGTCCGGCAATCAACCTCAGGTAGATCAGAGTAACAGTAACTGGAATATTATTACGACATAGTGACAAGTAGATTTAGTAACGTAGTAACATTAGGACTGAAGCCAGTTTTACCACTGTAATTATTATTATTATTATTAAAGATTAGCCGGTATTCTCCCGGCCCGGGCCTTGTCCAAGTGGTGGCCCGGCCTTGGCTCCCTCTTTAGGGAGTGTCTGAGACCTAAGTCTCCCATGGGAGGAGGCACAAGTACCTCCTCATCTTTGGGACCAACTGTCCCCAGGCCTAGCCACAAGCTAGGCCTCTCTGGTCTGCCATCCCCGCCTCAAGGGGGCTAATGGGAATGACAGTCTTATGAGCTAAAGGCTCGGGCTCAGGCACCTACCCTACCCTAGAAGGGTTAGGCATGGTGTCGATTACCACTGTAATAATTGTTACATCGTCTTACCCATGTTTACCAGATATAAATAAAAACTGGCTTTATGTTATGCTAAAAATAATTGTTCCTGCTAATAATTCAAATTATTATTCTTATTAGAGAGACAAATGTTTACCTAAAACTTACTACGTAGAATAGTAGTATCCACGAGTTATTGTTACTACTACTATCGCTATTATTACTACCTCCATCACTGCTAGTACTGCAATTGTTATTACCACTACTCCTTCCCTTATTTATTATTACTACTTCTAATACTACTCCTACAACTACTACTGCTACCTACTGTAGTACTAATCAATTTATCTTTCCTTTCCCTGCTTCAACACAAACCCATCAAACGTACCTTCCATGACCTCTCTGCCTACCTTACTCTTCACTTGCTGACTGTCACGTCTTTGTCTGATGCAGTTCGAGGCGACTTTTACAGTGGGTCCTCTGAAAGTGGAGATGGCAGACAAGGCTAGAGACCTCACCAAGACCCAGGTCGCCATCATCCTCAGTGCACGGGCGTTGTTCAAAGCCAAGAATGTAAGTGACTTGCTCTCTTGTTCATTTACTCGTGAGAGAAAATCTGACGTGGGTATAGGCTCTGGTGGCCTGGTGGTTAACGCTCTCGCTTCACACGGCGAGGGCCTGGCTGGGTTCGATTCCCAGCCAGAGTAGAAACATTGGGCGTGTTTCTTTCCACCTGTTGTCTATGTTCCCCATCAGTAAAATGGGTACCTGGGTGTTAGTCGACTGGTGTGGGTCGCATCCTGGGACACTGACCTAATTTGCCCGACATGCGGAGCATAAGTAGTAGATGTCATTGTTGTCAGCTAGGACTGTATACCTTGTACATGTACTTGTAGTAAATAAAGATATGATGACACATCTACTGGGTAACTGAGAGAGCACCTACCCCTGGCACTGATGTACCTCTCTCTCCCTCTCCCCAAAAAAGGTTCGTTCCCGGGACAAGCTCAAACTTCTGAGTATGGAGATGATGGACATGACACACGACACCGTCAGTGTGTCCCGCTCTGACCTCATCTTCGAGTCGGAAATGGTCTCTACGGTGCAGGATCAGGTCTGTATATACATCTTCAGGGTTCTTTTACGGGTTAATATTTGTTTTATAGGTGTTATCCTGTGCAGGGAAACGGAAGGTACCTCCAGATCTTTGAATTAAGTGGTCTTCAACTGAAGCCAGGTAGTAGTCAGTGCTCTTAAGAAATTTTAAGGTAAAATCCATTAAATAGATGAACTAACAAGTATGTCCTTCACGCAGGTCGTCCAGGCTGTCGATGTACCCCGCATTGGCCGCATACTGGCCCATGAGCTGGAGACCATCTTTAATGAGGAAGATATTCTCCAAAACCTGGAAGAAAAATTCAAAAACTAACTCAAACCTCAAAGAAACCAAAATTCATTTTTCAAAGAAAACGTTAAAGAACTCACTATCAAAGAAAACTATAATTTATGAAAGACAGACTTTTACATTTCTCGTTCCATTCTCTAGGAACCCTACACGTCTTGTGCTGAATATGTTTAATGTGTCTCTGCATTCTAACCCTCTCAGGTTGTACAGACTGATCTTGTGTATATCGTGCCCAAGGAGCCAAGTTGGCCAAACAAACCCAGTTGTATTAATAGATTTATTCGTACAAATAATCTCTAATGGTAAATTAATACGCTGTACCAGTGATAAATGGTGCACCGAGACTATATACCCTGACCTAACTGTGTTAACTTTAAGTGTTGTTATTTAGCTTTCCTCTCTTACAAAAAAATATTAACATACTCGGCTTGTTTCGCAAATCGATCGTTGCCGATCTAAGTCGGCAAGTGAGGCTTGTGAAGTACGATATGTATGCACCACTTGTGCCCCACTGAAACACTGTGTTTCAAGGAATGAATTATTGGTATGAGTGTTTTACTAGCGTCTGCCATATCTCATGCCATCTATCTGGTGACCAACCCAGGTACAACTTCACGCACATTAAAGAACATGAGAATAAGTAAGTTTTTTTAGGTACACATGAATACAGTTACACAAATTATTATATATAGTAACATATGTGTAAATTACCTAGGATAACCCAAAAATAAAGTCAAAGTGACTTATTTCCATTGTGGGGGAATGATGGAACGCTGCAGCAGGCCTTGTGGTCTTAGCTGCGCTTATCCAAGTCATACCCACTCATATTTTCCTAGTGTCTTCTTATTCTCTGGCTCTTAACACCACCTTCATGTAGATAATGCTAACATAGCACCAACTTACACTATATATATATTATATATATATATATATATATATATATATTATATATATATATATATATATATTGTATGTATATATAGATATACATACATACAGAGTCTTGATACATAGACCCCCCCCCCCTATTTTATTCCAGCAGGCAGAACTTCACCTCAGCTTGCCACATAATTAACCCCGTGTAAATAGTATGATAAAACCCCATTATCATGTGTACCTTTAATATTTATTGTATATTTATTTAAGTATGTGTGAAAGAAAACCTTAGTATTTACGGGCAATTAAATATTACGATATTTAAATATATGGAGAGTTTGATTTATCCCTGAGGAGAGAAATCACATTGGTAGTGATTGCAAATGTGAGGATCGACACCATGCCTAACCCTTCTAGGGTAGGGTAGGTGCCTGAGCCCGAGCCTTTACCTCATAAGACTGTCATTCCCATTTGCCCCCTTGGGGCGGGGATGGTAGACCAGAGAGGCCTAGCTTGTGGCTAGGCCTGGGGACAGTTGGTCCCAAAGATGAGGAGGTACTTGTGCCTCCTCCCATGGGAGACTTAGGTCTCAGACACTCCCTAAAGAGGGAGCCAAGGCCGGGCCACCACTTGGAAAGGGCCCGGGCCGGGAGAATACCGGCTAATATTTAACTAACTAACTAACAAATGTGAGGAAAATACCGTAGTAGAAGGAACAGAGAAATGAAATACTACTCGAGTGATTTTCTGGACTGTAATATATATCTTCAGGTGTTCGGAGTTAGGGATACCTCTTCTGAAGACAGGTGTACTCATCTAATTGCACTCACATTATTGCGATTGCAGGGGGTCGAGTCTCATCTCTAAGCCTCTACTGGGTTCACTTTCATGGCTGCATGAGTCATGTAATACCTATTCTTCAAGCTGTGTATGGATTCTGTCTCTACCACTTTACTCTGTTGTTGTTCCACTTCCCAACCACTTAAGGGTTAAAGAAGCATTTATCATCCCTGTGACCGATGTATCTGTGTTTTTAACCTCCAGCTGTAACCTGGTGTACCTAACACCTGCCTCGCAAACATGCTCTCCATGTCTACCCTGTCAATTCCTCTCGGTATTTTGTACATCATAAACATGTAACCTCTGGACCTTCTGTTCTCTAGTGCCGTCAGGTTCAGCTCCTCATAGTTTAGATCACTCAGCTCTGGGACTAGTTTCGTTGCAAACCTTTGCACATTTTCCAGCTTCTTTACATACTTGACTGCCACCCACACCATGGGTATGTATGTGGTGACTACCACCCACACCATGGTATTATGTGGTGATCACCCCAACCATGGTATGTATGTGGTGACTACCACCCACACCTGGGTATGTATGTGGTGATACCACCCCACCATGGTATGTATTGGTGACTACCACCCACACCATGGTATGTATGTGGTGACACACCCCACCATGGGTATGTATGTGGTGACTACCACCCACACCATGGGTATGTATGTGGTGACTACCACCCACACCATGGGTATGTATGTGGTGACTACCACCCACACCATGGGTATGTATGTGGTGACTACCACCCACACCATGGGTATGTATGTGGTGACACACCACACATGGTTGTATGTGTGACTACCACCCACACCATGGTATGTATGTGGTGACTACCACCCACACCATGGGTATGTATGTGGTGACTACCACCCACACCATGGGTATGTATGTGGTGACTACCACCCACACCATGGGTATGTATGTGGTGACTACCACCCACACCATGGGTATGTATGTGGTGACTACCACCCACACCATGGGTATGTATGTGGTGACTACCACCCACACCATGGGTATGTATGTGGTGACTACCACCCACACCATGGGTATGTATGTGGTGACTACCACCCACACCATGGGTATGTATGTGGTGACTACCACCCACACCATGGGTATGTATGTGGTGACAACCACCCACACCATGGGTATGTATGTGGTGACTACCACCCACACCATGGGTATGTATGTGGTGACTACCACCCACACCATGGGTATGTATGTGGTGACTACCACCCACACCATGGGTATGTATGTGGTGACTACCACCCACACCATGGGTATGTATGTGGTGACTACCACCCACACCATGGGTATGTATGTGGTGACTACCACCCACACCATGGGTATGTATGTGGTGACTACCACCCACACCATGGGTATGTATGTGGTGACAACCACCCACACCATGGGTATGTATGTGGTGACTACCACCCACACCATGGGTATGTATGTGGTGACTACCACCCCACTCCATGGGTATGTATGTGGTGACTACCACCCACACCATGGGTATGTATGTGGTGACTACCACCCACACCATGGGTATGTATGTGGTGACTACCACCCACACCATGGGTATGTATGTGGTGACAACCACCCACACCATGGGTATGTATGTGGTGACTACCACCCACACCATGGGTATGTATGTGGTGACTACCACCCACACCATGGGTATGTATGTGGTGACAACCACCCACACCATGGGTATGTATGTGGTGACTACCACCCACACCATGGGTATGTATGTGGTGACTACCACCCACACCATGGGTATGTATGTGGTGACTACCACCCACACCATGGGTATGTATGTGGTGACTACCACCCACACCATGGGTATGTATGTGGTGACTACCACCCACACCATGGGTATGTATGTGGTGACTACCACCCACACCATGGGTATGTATGTGGTGACTACCACCCACACGTAATATAGATAATAAATTACTACCTATTGCAACACTTCCTCCCTTCATCACTTTTCCAGATAAATCCACCAAAAATCCACTTCTGGTGTAGACGGGGACGGTGGTGTTGAGAGACGGCACTTCCCAAGTGATAGTAACTCCAGTTCCGCTAAAGCGAAATTTTTGAAGTTGTCGTAGCTGATAAATCGTGCTGAAGTCGCCCAGCTCAGGCTGATAGTTCAGTACTATATATGTGACTCATAAGAACATAAGAAGGAGCACTGCAGAAGGCCTACTAGCCCATGCTAGGCAAGTCCAAGTCACCTACTGGCCCAGGCCAGTCAGATCCAACTCGCCCACCCACACCCATATTTTTAAAACTACACAAAGTTTTAGCTTCAATAACGCTACTCGGGAGTTTGTTTCACTCATCCACAACTATATTACGTACTTTCCTATATCCTCTCTAAATCTAAAGTTTTCAAACTTAAACCCATCGCTGCGCTTCCTGTTTTGGCTAGATATTTTCAGCACGTTATTTACCAGGTGTCTGGTGGAACTTGACGGGGAACACACCTACCGTGGAAGATTAAGATAAGATTTCGTTCGGATTTTTAACCCCGGAGGGTTAGCCACCCAGGATAACCCAAGAAAGTCAGTGCGTCATCGAGGACTGTCTAACTTATTTCCATTGGGGTCCTTAATCTTGTCCCCCAGGATGCGACCCACACCAGTCGACTAACACCCAGGTACCTATTTGCTGCTAGGTGAACAGGACAATAGGTGTAAGGAAACGTGTCGGAATTTCCACCCGCCGGGAATCGAACCCGGGCCCTCCGTGTGTGAAGCGGGAGCTTTAGCCACCAGGCCACCGGGCCACTGCTGATGTATCCAATTTTGTTGAAGACAAGGAGCAACGGTGGCAGTGACCGGACCTTGTGACGTTAATGTCATGTTCACAACAGACAGCCGACCGGCCTCTCCTCAGGTCTCAGAAAAAAAAAAAAAACAGGAAAAAAGTTCACGGAAAATAAGTCACAATTTTGGCTCGGAAAAAAAGTCACATCAGATTAGGTTGTACCTTTTTTCTTGTGACTTTTTTCCTGTGAATTCTTCTTCCTGGACTCTCTGGTCAACTCTTGATCAGGTCAAAGGTCAACCGGGCACTAGTAGCGGGGGAGGGACAAGGGGGGGGGGTTGTTAATGCGCACAAGCCCAGATACAAATTTAATCTAAAACGACCAGTTGGGTTTAGATCCGGCTAATTGATGGTGGATGAGACTAATGTGTTTTGTGCCAAGGTATGTGGATTATTAAAAAAGTAATTAATCACGTATAAATGCTGAGAATACCAGAACATTATTGCCCACGAGTGATCCTTCGATCACCATTCATAACAATTATCAATCAACAACAAAAACTGTGCTTATTAATATGTGGTCCTTGGTTCGATCCCCGGTACGGCTGGAATTTTGTTTTTTTTTGGGGGGGAGGGGGGTTTCCTTAAGACACCTGCTGCCTATGTTCACCTAGCAGTAAGAAGGTACCTGAGTGTTAGTCGACTGATGTGGGTAGCATCCTGGGGGATAAAATGATCTACATAACAAGAGACTTTCTATATAGTATTGCACTGATGTCAGCTATGGTCTGTATAAGGTCTATCATGTACTTATACATGTAAACATTATTATTATTATTATTATTATTGTTATTATTATTGTTATTATTATTATCATTATTATATTATTATTATTATTATTATTATTATTATTGTTATTATTATTATTATTATTGTTATTATTATTATTATTATTGTTATTGTTATTGTTATTATTATTATTATTATTATTATTATTATTATTATTATTATTGTTATTGTTATTGTTATTATTATTATTATTATTATTATTATTATTATTATTGTTATTATTATCATTATTATTATTATTATTGTTATTATTATTATCATTATATTATTATTATTATTATTATTATTGTTATTGTTATTGTTATTGTTATTATTGTTATTATTATTATTATTTTTTATTATTATCATTATTATTATTATTGTTATTGTTATTGTTATTATTATTATTATTATTATTATTATTATTATTATTATCATTACTATTATTATTGTTATTATTATTATTATTATTTATTATTATTATTATTATTATTATAATATTATGTCAGGTAGATGTGTATAAGTTAGTTGTATTATTGTATTTGTAAAAATATAGATTATTATTATTAATTTATTTATTTATGTTGGTGGAGACGG